TATCTTTTATCCATAGTTGGAAATAGTAAGTTCGTTCCAAAATGAATAACACAATAGATTTAGATTTGATTTATTCAATGGTCAATGTTTCTTGATCGAAATTCTTGCCATAGAAAGAGCGAAAGTTGTCTTGACATCATTATTGTGTTCACTGACAATTCAAATATGGATCGCATCAGACAGAACCGAATTCGCATCGAAATTTTGTCATTGTCTCAGATCTCTCGTACGTACAGTTTCAATGAAATGGACGTTAAATGTAAAAATGCCGATTCCAAAGGAACCTTATCACTCTTTGAATGAACATTTTGGTTCTAGTTAAGGAAATATTCAATTCTACAATTCTCAAATCATATGTTTTAGATGAGGAATGATGGGATTTGGACGATTCTTTATTAATGAAAGAGTATTCAATAAAACACTCTACAAAAGGTATCAAGATAAGCATTTTTAGTCATGAGTTAAAACTATTTCATTGATGTAAGACTAAAGCAATGTTGTCGACACTGCCGTCATTAGATTTCTGAGCAGTGCGAGTAAATGTGACCAAGACTTTTGCTACACGAGCTCCAATTGGAACAACTCCTCCAGCCTCCCGATAGAGCATCATCGATATATAGTTACGATCACTGGCAGAGACTGGTCCAATGTTGGTGACATAGCCCACCTGTTGAGAGAATTGATTCAGGAAAGTTAACGAAATTTTGGCATTATCATTTTGGTCTTCCCAACCTCCGATCCATGCAGAGAGACGAAAGTTGACTGTGAGTGAATCAATCAGTACAGCAGCAACTGTATTATTCAAATAGATAGTTTGCCACATAGTAGTTGATGATGAAATTTGGCCGAAAAAATAACAATTACCACGATTCCTGGAAAGATAATAATATGTAAAAACGACAATGTTGATCGTTAACTTTTCTACCTGGGTCCAGGACTCGATAGTGACATGGGTCCATGTTTGGGATTATTGTACGCGACTTGTGTAACTTCTCCGTTATAGTTCCAACTGGTGGGTCTTTTTATTCCATTGCTCGTTTCACAGGAACCCGTTTCACCGTCACCATTTTTAACCAAATTCACATTGAACTCTAAATAGAGACTGAAAATGACTGCTCTAATCGGTAGAGCTCACCTCTAACTGAAACGAGCATGACAGAAGAATGAATTAAAAAGGAATCAGTTTTTCGCGGAATCAAATTAACAATATAGAATTATTATCTTTGATTATGGGACTAGATTGAGATATCTGTCAACTCTCATGAAATGACATTCACATAATTTACACAAAGCTTCGCTAGTATGGACTAACTGTAGGCAGTCTATTATTATATATACAACATGTCTGATTCTCGTAAACTATCCTCTACTTCTTTATGTTGGAGTTCTCTTTACTTTTGAAAATTCATTTTGTTTGTGTGTAAATCACCTTCTAACATACATGGTTTTCTAGTATGTTGCCATGCTAGATTTTGTGTCTATCTATTGTTCTGTGCGTAAGAAATGCAAGAGAAAGAGAAGATTCACTTTTTCCTGACAGGATAGCGCTCATCAATAAATTGTTTCGCTCACTCGTTCCTATAAGATGAGAAAGATGTCACTATACTCTTAGAAAGAAATTTTCATGTGGATTTCTGAATAGTATTTGCATCTTTAATATTGGCTATCACTGCAAGAACATCTCACATTACTTTTAAATCTTCCGAAAACAACCCCTCCCATTTAACCCTTTGAGTCCTGAACTTTTTCTACTGAACCAAAATTTGATGAAATTTGATATAAACCAACTAGGCAACATTAGGAATCATGCGGTTAAATTACAATTAATGAAAGCACGTGATCACATGAAAATTAAAACATTTTTGTTATTGTTGCGTTTCAATAGAAAATCGTTATTATAATTACTGAAACATTTATTTGTTTCATTACTAATACACGTAGTTTTGATGATACAAAAAAAAAAAAAATTTTTACGCAGAGATGAACACGACAAAAGTTACAAATTATATTCGTCCTTTTCTCTATTTCTTTTCGCTACAATAAGCGCATTGACGATAAATTGAAATAACTTTTGGCATATGAACCAAAAGTTGTGCTTTTTCAGAATTTTCTACGTTACTTTTTCTCTTTTCAACGTATTTCTTCTTCTGATTACTTATCGCCAAAGGTATTTCTACTCTTTTTCTACTACAATAATTAGCTACGAGTGCGGTACTAATAGACGTCATATATTCTAATCATCCTCAAGTATCAAATTTGTCAAATCGGCGGCCTCGACATAAATAACCTATGTTGACTAGATATTCAGACGTACACATAGACATTGCATGTTATGTATACAGAAGATAATTCTCTTGTTGAGGATTCATAAAAATAAAACAAATGAATTTAATCTTTTGTAACAGACTGAACTATTTATCATAGTACCTCAGATATATCTCATGGATATAAATTTTGAAGAAAAGGAAAATCAGCGAAAAATTTTTAAAATCCGGGTTATGGAGTCAAAACTTCTTTTGGACTAAAGAAACTCGGCGTAGTGCGCTTTTCAATGTCCTCCATACACTCTATATCCGTGCAATATTGTAGAGACCTTTGCAAACTTCTAACATTTATTGAAAATATTTCTTCAAGGTTCTCAAAAACTCGAGGATTCGAAAATTCTCAAGGTGGAATATATGTGTCCCACCGGGACTCAAAGGATTAAGGCAAGAAAATTAGCTTCGGGACGATCGTTGGTGCTGTTTCCTCCTATTCATTTCTTAATGGTTGCAGTTTTTTGCTACACAAGTGCATAATAATCCACTGCAAAGGCTACAAACTAAATGGAACAATTTCTGGTTTTAAGCGTCCCTACAATGTCCTATAATTTTGAGACACTCTGAAGATGTTGCAAATCAGTGCAGTGAAGCCTGCTTGAAAAACCCAATTTGACAATTTGCCTTCGCGAACCTGAATTCTATGCGATATTTTAAATCAATTACATCAGTTCAGCTCTGATTTAAATTCATCCTAACACTGCGTACTCACCTGATGGAAAATTTGTTGTAGTCGATGTCGTCGTAGTAGAACCTAGAGCGAAAAGAGACATTTGTACGAGATCATCGACAAATTGGAACAATAATTATTCAAAGGTAATTCTATTTGAAACACTAATAAAGTCCATTTTAGAGGTGATGACAATACCAAATATCGTTTTTCACTACTTAATCTACGAGCAAAATGTGAAGGTCTGACATTTTGTATTTTGAACATCAGTGAACCAAGATCTTTTTACCAATATTTCAATGAGTTCGCTCCACCATTCGCTGATAGTGGTGCGTGCTTCTGGTCAATTTCACGATGTATACTCAGAAAGCAAAGCAATACCTAGGATCCAGAAATTGGCAATTCAAGGAAAATTAAGAAATTCAAGGAATTCTAGCTGCTAAAACAATTCCATCACTTAGGGCTAAACTGTACCGCGGTATCCACAGAAATCCACCCAGGTCAATCATGGTCGGCTGTACACGGCCGTACACTAACCAATCACGGTGGATAATGACGACTATTTACGGTAGCCGTTTACAGCCATGGTAAGCGGTACTTTACGGCATATTACGACCGCCGTAAACCATGCCCGTAAAAGGTCACCGTAAACCACTAGCGTGATAATACGGCGACTGTATACTTTGTTCGAAAAACACCGTTAGACATCGTATACGTCAGGTGTTCGCGGTAGTCGTTTACAACAGTCGTAAATAACGCTTTACGGCATATTACGACCATTGTAAACAACAACCGTAAAATGTCGCCGTCAACGACTAACGTAGCAACACGGCGGCTGTATACGTCAAGGAGATAAGATATCGTAAGACACTGTGTACGTTAGTTGTATACGGTAGCCGCTCACAGCGATCGTAAACAAACCTTAACAGCCATCGTAAACAATGACCAAAACAAGTCGTCGTGAACGACTTCCGTAACAATACGGCGATTGTATACACTCGTCAGATAATATCCCAAGGTACCATCCAGATCTACTGGAACTGGTCTGATACAGGATCATTATTTTTTATCGTATTTCGTCGTAAAAAGTCGTTAACATTGGCGAACCCCTCTTATTCAATATAAATAATATGCGCTCAGGATCAGCTAAACAGGTCGCTAGGTAACAAGAGTTCCATTTCCACATAGTTGAGAAAGAGTCGCGAGTTCTGCCTTCTGCCATGAACAATATCCTTATAAAATTCAAGATTTTTAGAAGTACCTTATTTGTGCGATTTCTGTTGATATCCCTTGGGGTCTCGATAAAATGTACAAACAGCAGAGACGATATCAGCGCATAACAACCATACGGCTACATACTCCCATAGTTTACCCATGTAACAAAAACGACTAAAAAGCGTATTAAAATTGACTATTTTTGGATTAAAAATCGATTGAAATGTCACTATTTTGATCTAATTTTAATAAGATCTTTCAGTGTTAAAGATAGAGTTCAGTTGATTTTAATCTTCTTAATCGATTATCATAATTAAATTAATTGCGATCGATTATTAGAAATCAATTTTAATCTCATCTTTAGCCATTTTTTATATGTGGAAGCTCTTTTTCTTGATTAGCAGCATCACAGTAGAAGGAGAATCTATGCTACTTAATTGGTGACAAAAATTAGGGCGTACTATTATAATAGAAAATGGCATCGTAAAGGCATTTATGATAGAGGTATCGCATTAGAATTAGCATTAGTATTAATCAAAAAGCCTAATGCTTTGTTGTTAGCATTAAATTAGCATTATTATTAATTCTAATACATCTATTCTGTGTGAGTTATGAACTGCTATTCCTAACTATTCAGAAGCTATCCAGGAAGTACCTAGGAATCATCATGACCCATCCATAGGGATACTGATAATCCATCAAGGGCTATCCAAGGGAATACTTATGACTGACTCTTCAAGGGCTATCAAAATATCGAATTCAGTGGTATTTACTTAATGTTAATCCTTTGAGTTCGGGATTATTTTTTTATAGTCAAATTTTTTACTATATGAAAATAATTCTTCAATCAGAGAATTATGAGACAACCATAGTCATCAGTAAGTATTGATGATCTTAGTCGCACAAATATCCTAAACGTGAACATCTATACAGTTCATATGATTAAAGTACCAAAAGATAATGTTTTTTGAAATTATTCAGAGTGCAAAGTCCCAGAACGAACATGTTCGTCGCCCGTACCCAATGGATTAATCACCTCATTCTCCATTTTCGACCGAAGTGGTAAATACGAAAAAATTCAAATTAGTACTAATTATCAAGGCGTTCGTTAACACAGTTTTTTAATCAACTAACCATTTCCTAATAACACTTTTTTCAAAAATATCAAGAGATAAATGAAGCTATATAGCTTACTTTCCATTGATTCGCGTTCTAAATCAAGTCTACGGTAAGCACCACTCCTCGCTCCCACTAGAGAAGTTATTGATGCCTTTGATAGCCCTTGAAGACTTATAAATTTCCTCCCTGCACAACCCATGAAGAGCCATAATTGCCTCCCTGGATTGGCCTTCAAGCTCTGTAACTACCATTCCTGGATAGGCCTGGATAAGTCTTAGGTTCTCCGGGATATACCTCGATGGCCTGATAAGTATCCTTCTAGGACAGAGCTTGATGAGTCCTAAGTACCGCCTTCGATTGCTCTTGTTGACTCATAAGTATCCCTCTGGATAGGCTTCCGTGAGTCATAAAGACCTTCCTGGATAGCCCTTGAAGACCTATAGGTACTATCCCCAGGTAGGACTTGGTGAGGCCTAAGTGTGCCCTTGAGTAGCCCTTGATCAGTCATAAATATCCTCCCCGGTAGGCATTGAAAATCGATAAGTACCGCCTCTGGATAGGCCTTGATGAGTGCCGAGTATCCCCTTGAATCGGCCTTTGATCAGTCCGAAGTAACCCTCTGGATATGCCTTGATGAGTCACAACTACCTCTCTAAGCAGGCCTTGAAGATCTATAGATGCTCTCCTTGAATAGGACTTGATGAGTCTTAAGTACACCGTTGAATAGCCCTTCATAAATCATAAGTATTTCCTGGATAGCGCTTAAAGAGCTCTCAGTACCACCTAGGATAGCCCTTGATGAATCCTAAGTACCCTCTCTTGGATGCGCCTTGATGAGTGCTAGGTATCTCCCTGAATAGGCCTTCATGGGTCATCAGTACCCTCTGGGCAGCCCTTGAAGACTTACGAGTACTCTCTCTGGACAGGATTTGATGAGTCCTAAGTATGCCCTTGGATACCCCGTGATCAGTCATAAATATCCGCCTGGATAGGCCTTGAAGAGTCATAAATACCTTCCTGAGCAGATCATGCAGGTCCATAGGTACCCACCTCATATAGCACTCGATGAGTCTTAAGTACGCCCTTTCATATGCCTTCATAAGTATTCCTTGAACAGCCCTTAAAGAGCCCTCAGTATCCCCTTCGATAGCTCCTGATGCATCTTAAGTGCCTCTTCTTCGGATGGGTCTTCATGAGTCCTAAGCTTTCCAAAAATGCTAAAGTATCAGACTTATTCATTAATATTAATGCAAAACCATCAGCATTTTCTTTGATACGAATGCTTAAATAAAACTCTTATCAGTGCCATTAGATAACACGTCAAACATCGCGGACGGACTCTTCAAAGCCGGACGGGCTACTCACAGACGGACGGACCCACCCTATATATATGACAGTCCCCACATGCCTCACTTCATTTCGATCGTGGCTAAGATTCGAGTAAGTAGGCTTCGAAATCCTCAAAAAAGGCGCACCCCAAATACAAAACCCCATTCACCTATTGCTTAAGCATCTATGAATGACAAAAAGATACTATACCCTCATAGAAGCACCTACACCTACCAACTCTCACCTGTACAGGTAAAAAATTTGTCACCTGGAGGCAAAAATCCTTCACAAATCCCTTTTAAGTCAAATTTTTTTAACAAACGCTATTAAACCTTATACTCCACATGATTTCTTCATCCAAACGTCTGCATTCCTATAGAAAAAGCTATTTCAAGGCATTTTCCTCGCTATCTTCTTCGTTATACTTAATTTCTCTAAAGAAATCTGAGTTCTTCTAAAACATGCCTTTAAAGGCCATTTTTGTTGAATTTTTTAAAATAACATGATTTCTTCAGGAAAAAGCATGGGATCTAATAGGGAATGGTATTTTAAGGCATTTCCTTAAGTTTCTGCTTTTGTTTTGATGAGTTTCTACTGAGGAATCCGAGTTTTGCTAAAAAATGCCTTTAAAGGCCTTTTTCTGCGATCGTATACGGCCGCCGTATTTCACCGTATACGACACGGCGATTTACGGCCGTAATACGGCCCATAGAAATACGGCGTTCATACGGCCGTATACGATAGAGCTGGGCGATTGTACGGTTTTTGCTGTGTCGTATACGGTTAGCGTATACTGCCGTATTTCGTCGTATCCGACACGGCGATATACAACTCTAATACGATGCATAGAAATACAGCGAATATACGGCCGTGTACGGCGGTATTTTCGCCGTATACGGCGGTATACAGCGTCGTAAACAGCCGTTTACGGCTGTATCGGATCGTCGTAATGCTCGACCTGGGTAGCAATTCAAGGAAAATCAAGAAATTCCATAGAATATCTTGAATTCCTTGATTTCCGTGAATTGGGCGGTGCGATTTAACTTTAGGTGATGAAATTGTTGTAAGAGCTTGAATTTTTTTATTTTCCTTGAATTGCGAATATCTGGATCCTAGGTATACCTCAGAAAGCAACGTGATAAACAATCATATTTAGTGAAAATTCTGAAAATTTTTCTCCTAGATCTTTACCAGTCCCGAGCAGAGCTCCGTCAGAAGTCTTTCTATTTCTGATAGAAAAGGATAATTGGAAAGTACCCAAAATCTTGTCAAGGTTTGAGATAGGTTTTATCAGGGTCTTAAATAATCTCTTTCTATACCTAAAACTTTCAGAGTAATTCTCACGGGATTGAAATATGAATCACGACGGAATCGTTTCAAATAGACATAAGAATACTTTTATTTGTATCACGGACCGCCGCGAGACTAGAGAGGATTATTTCCAACTGTCTCTGATCGCGTCGAATATAGGTTTAAATACCGTGCTTCGAAACGAAATAGTATTTTCGGCTAAGAAATTTCATATTGAGGGTGAGAGTGAATCTGTCAGAGCCTGAGATGGAGTCAAAGAGTACAAACCTCTATCGTGGTCTGTATCGTAGGGTGAAAGTGGGAAGGTGATACTTTTCTCGCTCTAAACTTCAACACTCATTTTCAATCGAAATTCACACTAAGCATTTAATAACAGCTTTCTTAAAGAAACCTAGTGCGATCTCGCGAAGATGTAATTGAAATCTTATTAGAATCTAAATGGCAAAAGATTAAAGGATTAGAAGCTCTTAGCATTTATCTCCAGATCTACAGTCTATCAACTGAACAGCTTACTCGCCTCAACTATGCCGTTTTATCATCGATGAACTAAACTGTTATTTTGCAGCTGTCAAGTTCAACAGGTTAGTTTTGGTTGAATTTCTTTGCAAAAGCGTGTACTTCAAAAAATTTGCACAATTGAACACCGACTTCCTTCTTTTCGCATGAGCCGTAGAATCAACATGTCCAGCAAAGTAAGTTTTTTCGAAAACTCTGGCTGTTTTTCTCATGAGTAGATAAAACTGAAGAAACTTTTTGACCGCAAGATTACACTATGTCGAAGTTATTTTGCCTCAACTAATCGACTCGAGATCCATGGATTATAATGCTTCTATTGAACTACATGGTTAGCTGCAGAGGAATGTTTAGATGAACGTTTTACATATCTATTCAGTCATCATCAGAAAAATTCCAAATTATATAAAAACAAAGGATAAATGCTTGTGCTTTCAGCATCTTTTTTTTCAGTTCTCCAAACGATACGTTCAATAGAAATCCGATCAGCTCAAACATTATCATATCAAAAAATATTAATCAGAAATTTCTCACGTCACAAGTAAAATCAGATCAGCTAAATATGTGAGTCAAACTCTTGCAATCCGGTCTGACACAAGTGGAACCAGATTGCGCCAGAATCTCGTCACCAGGATTGCACTAGCCACATTCGGTCAGGTTTAGTGGCTTCTCTTGTAATTTGCTCGACGAAGCTGTCAAAATCAGACCACCGATATTGAGGCGACGGGATTTCGGCACAATTTTGGTCGAAATTGTTCAGATTCCACTGAACTCCTCCAAAACTCCGTATTGGATTCTATAAGAAATCTGAAAGATCCAATTGGTGCAATTTCAGATCTTGGAACTGCGCTGTATTGTTTACACAATACTCATTATATGTGTGTATTTCTCATTTTTGTATAATTCACAATTTTTCTGATTATAGCTAAATAAATATGTAAAACGTTTATCTAAACATTTCTCTGCAACTAACTATGCAGTTCGATAGAAGCATTGTAATCCATGGATCTCTAGCCGATTAGCTGAGGCAAAATAACTTCGGTAAAATACTGTGTTTAAATTCTAACTTCAACAAACGGCGTAATTTCGGCACAACATTTAGATTATATGACTGCTCCAGCTTAATTTCAAAGTGAAGATGTGGACCAAAATGTTCTCTATGAACGTCTCTCTCAAGTGATGACTGAAATGATATCTTCAACATACTAATGAAATGAAATAACACATGAACTGATAACTTTAGTTTCCTGCTTCTGTCAAAAGTTCTACTATCAAAAGTAGAGTGATACAAATGTACGCGATCGTTGAAATTACTCGGTCAGAATTTACAATGTCTAAGTCCGATTCCCGAGAATTATTAAGAAAACTATCCAACATTGGGCACTCTCTGATAACATTCTGCTTGGACCTTGTCCAAATTCTGAAAAGTTCTTGACTACACATTTCTACAAGGATGTATGTGATTTTTCGAGCGACTCGTGATTTCATATTAATGGTAATTTGTTCTTGATTTCGATGAAATTTTATTTGAAAACTTAACAAAATCCTCCAGACATCCATACAGTATGTTGCCAGCGGGATTTTTTCAGTCCTTTATGTTTCCTCTTGACTCTCATGGTATGAATATCTGAACGAGCTCTTAATAAATTCAGTTGCAAAGGTTTTTAGAATGATAGAGAAGATGGAAGGCCTTTCTAAAACAGAAATTACCATGATTTTTAAGTAGAATCCTCATCAAAATTTGACCAGGTTCTTCCAATTTAGAATCGTGACCGATCAATTAGAGTGTGCTGCACGAATAGCTACGACTTTCACTATAGGCAGAGTCTACAAATGTAAATCCTACAAAGATCTTGTATAAGAACTTGCGATACATTGTTGCCAAGATCGTCGTCTGGAACATGTTTCGATATTGAGAAGATCCTGATATTAAAATTTGAGTAGACTGCTAGAGCGAAATCGCTTAGATTTAGAAGAGCCCTTCTTTTCTCTTTTGTTAACAACCAAATCAAGATCACGACTGAATCTTGGTATGATTCTGAATTATGGTTTCTCGTAGGAATTTAAAGTAGGATCTTGGAAAGATCTTAACAAAAGTGAAGATTTTTTTGAAAGCAGAAACGGTTTGAATATAGAATAGAATCTAGACTTATAACGAGAAAATCCTAATAACTCAGGCGGATTGATGATGACAAATCAGCAAAACAGTTATGTCATCACTCGTATTTTAAGATTACTTGTTGTCGATACTTGTAGCGTTGGACACATCATCTCTGTGGCCATATCCAATGGATAGCAGACTGGTATACGATCGTCGCATTGCGAGTGCTGCACACACACCTGAGCAGGTTGAAGGCAAATCCTATCTAAGAGAGTACAAGGAGTCAAGTAAGAGCAAGTTAGATGAAGATAAGCGCAGATTGATTTATTGCTAGCGCCCACTAAAGGAATGCAGCCACATGCTTCGTTCGAAGAACATTTGTCGTATTCCGAGGCGTCTTCGCATATCGCAGCGTCAGTAAATTCTACAAGAGCCGCGTAAATGAATCGATAACAGAGTGAAGAAGCTACAACATACCTAAGAATCTTTCAGAACACAAGAGTTTATCATTATAGAAAACCAGCTATGCATTGCTTACCTAAAAAACATCAACATGAATATACACGCGTTCCACATTGTTTGAATGTTTTCCCGATGTTCTGTAGTCGAATATATAAACACCTAAAGACAAGTTGTAGGAAGGGACAAGACATTCAAGATTCACTGATTCAAAGATTTTTGCTTATTTCTACGAATTTTGACATGTGAACAATGAGGTTTTCACCTAACTGAGGAAGTTAAGTTGTCTATCATTACTACTCTTGTGTCTTAGATATGAATTATGATAGATTATGTAAGAGAAATAACAGCTTTGGTCTGTCACACAGATATACCATATTGATGAGGAACAGGATCTATAGCTTGTATTTTTGGCTTTATGTTTCAATACTGATGAACTGTCACGTTTCACGACTGAGCTCTTTCAGCTTTGTTCTGGCGTACCTAGAAGCAGCAAAGTTCATTTTTTTGAAAGGGAACAGGAACTTTGCAGAATCTCTGCTATTCGCTTTTGGCCCCAAGCAAAGAATCTGTTCGTATAAGGTCGACTTTTATGTCCCTCTTAAGAGTTTGAAAAATTTCTAGCGAGAAATAATCAGGGCATGGTCCTAGGTGAAACTGAGCAGCTGGCTTCTCTGGAACTAAAAAAAAAATTTTTTCGAAATTCTCGTACCTCCTTTCGAAGGTGCAGAGGGGTACTTTTTGACGCCTGAGGAGAGGTACGGAAATTTCGAAAGAAAATTTTTTTCGAGTTCCAGAGAAGCCAGCTGCTCAGTTTTACCTAGGACTATGCTCTGATTATTTCTAGCTAGAAATTTTTCAAAGTTTTAGGATAGGCGTAAAAGTCGACCTTATTCGGATAGGTCCTTTACCACTTTTAGACGTTCGAAAAAGGCGTTCAATTATTTCTTCACACAAACTCGCTTCTCTAACGGTGCAAATTTCGCATAATAAACAACAAATTAAGAATTCTATTGTGAACCTCTCCAATCATTTAATGAGTAAAGACTCGATAGACAAGAGACTTATCATTCCGTGACCTTTCTTTGTAGGTGAAAAGTTACGTCGATGATACAAATACGAAACCAAACGACAATGCCATGAAGAATAAAAAATGGTAGCTATGCCTTTTATAATGGCCAATAAATTTTTTTACGAATTGTGAAAGACTTCAATTTCTGTTGAAGTTGGGGTTAATAGTTTAAGACATTTTTCGCTAGTATTTGCCTTATAAATATGATCAGTAAGGGCCCAGTAGCGAAACTAAAGTTTTATTGTGGAGAAGGAACTTGGCTGACCAGATTCTGTCTGGTCGGACGGGAGACGCTCGTGATGAAGTTCAGTTAGTACCGCTCCGTTTGATGAGCAGGCGTAAGGCTTCAATGGAAAGTGAGGCTCAGCAGCATCTGAACACTAATGGGTTACGCGGGTAGGAAACGTCTCTATTGCTGTTTAAAAATATTAGTTCATTTGATGAAGATAAGTCTGATGTTTTCTGTGATCTTATGAATCATCTGTAAAAGTTCAAATCATTTCAAAAATATCTCGCTAAGTGTTGGCTCTAATTGAGGAAAATGGACGGCTTCAATGATCACCTTCTGTCACAGGTTTTTAATACTTCGATGAGAATTAATGAAATTTAAAGCGCAAAAAGCTACTTGAAAGAACAACATAATAGTCATTTGTTCGACACATAAGACTCTTTCTTTTCAGGTTATAATGGATAAAACGAGACAAGTTCCCACTGGCCATCGCTATAATTTTTCACAAACTCAACCGACAAAGGACGATCTAGTGTTACTATCTCGAATTTCCTATTTTGTATTTATAGAAAAATTTTGAGATTTATAGTCTTAAAAACATCTGACAGTGAGATCTTAAAAAGCGAAAATAATCTAACCACTGGTGTGAAATCATAGATCAAAAGTCCTCTTGTAAAAGCCCCAGACGTATGTCTACAATGGTTTATTCTTAGCCGGATAGGCACACAAGCCTAAGCATGTTTCTTCCATAAAAGAGAATATTTCTACGCAAATAACGAATTGCGTAAGAATGGAGCAGAAAGAGTTTGAAGTATCCTATGTGGAGGAAGGATGCGAAAATCTACGCAACAGAAGAAAGAGTTGTCGCCTACTTATGCTCGAAGCCTTCTCGAGGCAGATGGATCGTCAAGCAACAATAACGCGAAAAGCAAATGTGCAATTGATATAGAACAAGCGTAATCTGGAAATTATATCGCCGTTAAACAGGTTTTTCTAGAGTTATTGCTACTCGGCCTCTTTATACTCGGACAATCCGGTTGTCAAATAACTCTTTTTCTATTCGAATTTGTTTCTATTTTTGATGGTGAGCCCTAGAGAATCTACTGTAATATTACGTAAATCCCCCATCGAAAAATACTTTGTGCATCTCAAAATGTCATATCAACGAGTCTCACTATGATTGATTCTAAATAAGAAAACGAGCTAAATGGACCGGTTTCGACACATGATGCAATGATGCACAAATACATTCTCAACACTAGATAGTTACCTTTGGTTGTTACTTCTCGTATTCTTTCCAAGATAAATACTCTTATGAAACTCTTTCCAACTTTGTCTGTCCTCTTTTGCTTGCTTCTTGTCGCCCGTATATATTTATCTGAATGACTCATATTTACCCTTTGATCTGAATACTTTTTTTTTGAGTTAAGAGATAGTGGTAAACAACGATAGCGATATTTCGCATATAATTTTCGGCTCCCAATGGATAACGATGTTAACATTAGATGAAAAAAAATGAAACTGAGATGGTTCGTAACTTGACTTACATAGAACATACTTTGGTTGGGGTGTGGGTATAGATGTGGGTGTGGATGTGGATGTGGGTGTGGATGTGGATGTGGGTGTGAATGTGTGGGTGTGGGTGTGAATGATGCAGGTGTGGATGTAGATGTGGGTGTGGATGTGTGGGTGTGGGTGTGGGTGTGGGTGTGGGCGTGGGTGTGGGTGTGGGTGTAGGGTGTGGGTGTAGGGTGTGGGTGTGGGTGTGGGTGTGAGTGTGGGTGTGGGTGTGGGTGTGGGTGTGCGTGTTGGTTTATGTGAATAGAATCATTTACTCACGCTCACACACCCACATCCACACCCACATCCACCCACACTCCCATCCACACTCCCACCCACACCCACACTCCCACACACACCCACACACACCCACACCCACAAGATAGCTTTTTTTGAAGCTTTTTTTATTTTTATTAGGGTTGATTTATCTTTTTTTCGAAATATTTTTGTACATTATATTTCATATGCTTCACGCATTATTTGATGACACTAATAATAATTGTATAATAAAATTAATGATATTTTCTTCAAAAAAATTGATTTGGATTTGTAAGACAATAGGAAACCATAACTTTTTTCATGTACTTATTGTACAAAAACTGTAAACTATAAGTCTGTTTTATTTTTAAAAAATGTACTATATGTATTATAACACAGGATAGTTACTATCATTCCGAGCCCTCTAATAAATTTGTCTTCGGTCGAGAGGATATGTGCAATATAGCTCAATGGGGATTTTTGTGTGTAGCTTATCTTAACCGTATAAAAGTATACATCTCAAGCATACGAGCTCATTTCTTTCTTTTTCTGTTACCAAGACACTGCATTTAGTTTCTCAAATTATCAAGTTAAGCATCATGGATACTTTAATAAAGTAGTTAAAGTAGAGATTTTTTCACAAAAGAAGGGCTTTTTTTAAAAAAAGAACGATTTTTTATAAAGTTTGATCAAAGATTTTAAGGGTCGAGGAATCTGAATCTGAAGTCGGTTTTTTCGAAATTTGGAGTTCGATTTTACCACAAAAAGTTTTTGCAAAAAAAAAGAATTTTTTGTATTTTAAAAACTTTCTGTAATTTCTAATAAAAATATTAATAAAGTGAAAAAGTCACCTTGTCGTCTTTTTTAGCAACTGCAATTTTTTTACCGTAATTACGCGCAACAACGGCGCAGTTTTTTGCAATTTGATCGTAATCGAACACATAGGATTGTTTTAACAGAAAGCGAATACTTCATTTTCCGTATTACATACTTCAACATGGGTCAAGAAGCTGGCTTTAAAACACTTCATAATTAAAGAATTCAAGTTCAAACAAATTCTTGGTGCGAAATTCTCTTTCTTTTACTATTTAAGATTTTCATGCAAAAAATGAAAATTTCAGCCTTTTCTAAGAGCTGAAAACAAACGTTGTGTAAAATTTTCAAACAAAAACTATAAGTTAATTAAGATAAAATAACTTTTCCATCTGTGAAAAGACGATTTTATAAAGAAGGCTAATAATCTCGTGTGATGTGAAGCCCTTTTCATATATCTTGACTGATGTTTTCAGTCTATTCAATTCTTAGAATAGAGCAACAGATTTACCGTCTTGATACAGCTGTTAATTACCAATTTATTGTTTTGTTGAAGTGTTATTAATCAATATCAAAACGGGTGAGCTGACATAAGAATAAAGAACGATGAAAACTTTCAAATCATTGATTGCACGATAGATCAAAAGGATATTAACAAACACTAACTAGGATCTGCATTTTATTCTTCCGTAATAGTGTTTTGTTTTCATTCTTACTTGAAAAGCGACACTAAGAAAACTGCCTACGTCCTGACTTTTCCGCCTCATTGAAATTTGTGCTTCAAGGAATCA